TTGTTGTTTATATTTTATATTCATTAGCATATTTTCACAATTTCTCCGTGAGATAGTTACAATTATTAGCCTCATTCCACAGACAAGGAAACTGAGGCGCAGAGAATTTAAAGATGTAGCCCAACATCACTCAGACTAGTTGTAGTGGATTGATAACTGGTGGTCAACTTATAACCCCCAGCTGAACTCACTAACTGTGGTGCGCGGTGTGGGAGGCCCACCTGAGGACTGTTGCCAACAGCATAAAGGCAGACGTGGAGAAGAAGGAGGCGGCTTTTGGGAGCTGAGAAAGGCTATAGGGAGCTGGCTTTCCTGATGAACTTGGCTGTTTTCATCCTCTGAGGAGCTCGGGACCTCACTGGCACTGAGAATGGCTTAGTTCACTTTGGAGAGCTCTGGTCCTCACTTTGAGCATTGTTTCCTGGTTCTGGAGGGGAAGGTGGTGCACTGCCGGCCTCCTGGAAAAGCTTGCTGCGTTGGCTCCCCTGATGGGAACTCGGCCACCCTGATCATTGGAGGAGCTTGGGACCTCACTGTTGCCAAGGATGGCTGTGGTACCTTTCAGGGGAGCTCTGGTTCTTCTGAGCATCACTTCCTGGCTCCCATGTAGATCCCTCAGCCTGCTAGCACAGATCCTTCATCCTGCTGGCACAGACTTTGTCGATTCCACCACTGACGTTTGGGCCTTTCCAGCAGATCCGTGAAACAGGCCTGCGTGAGACGTTGTCATGTGCTCTGGGCCTCCCGTTGGATTCATGGGAGGCATTGTTATGAGCTCTGGGTATTTAGCTCGACTCATGTAGGACATTGCTGTGGGATCCAGGCCCTCACCTGGACTCCTTGGTCTTAGTGTGTGGACAGATTTCCTGCACTCTTTTGTATACTGTTCTTTGGGTGACTATTATGAATAATCATATAAAGTATGTGTCCTGTATTATATTGCTCCCCTTGCAAAATAAGGCCCAAACCAACACACTAGTGAACCTGCTAGTTTAACTCTTATGGTGATGTAACTTAGTCCTTATACCATCTGCTCTGATCTTTAGTTCTAACTCTCCATTCAGTTCCTCATATATCAGCCATCTAAGATCTATTAACCTATCCCAAAACATGTCCATTATCAGTTTCCATCACCATGACTGCTCCTACTGTCTAATGCCTTGGTTCCTTTTAAGGAACTTCCAGTCCTTCTCTCACTGTCTGTATCTTCCTCACATTGATCTACGGTCCAAGATCTCTACCAAGTAAGTTTTCAAAGATTGATTCATGCACTTATTCATCATACTCTGATTTAAAAATATGTGTGTGTGTGGCAACTGAAAATATAGCTCAGTGGAAAAGTATGTTTAGTATGTGAGGCCCTGGGTTCAATTTCCAGCACTACCAAGAAAGAAAAAGTGTGATAGTGTTTTGTTGACTTGAAGAGCGCTTTGGAGAGAGTATTCAAAGTTCTGTGCATGTGGATCTAGTTTTGACAAACTTTTCTCCAAAACACTCCCTACAGCTAATTCCCTAAAGGCATCCCTCTTAGTCTGTTTTCCGTTGCCATTACAAAACATCTAAGATTAGGTAATTTATAAAGAATACGTGCTTATTTAAGTTGCAGTTCTAGAGGCTGAGAAGTCCAAGAGCATGGATGGCATCTGGTAAGGGCCTTCTTACTGCATCTTTGCATGTTAAGACAGAGCAAGGGTGTTCTCTCATCTCTCTTTTCTTCTTAAAGACACTAATGTCACCCTAGGATCCAACCCAGAAGACATCAGCTAATCTTAATTCCTTCCCCCAAACCTCACCTTAAAAATCCATTAACATGAAATTGAGGACTAATCTTCCAATATATGAACTTTTGGGGGGACACATTCAAATCTTTGCAGCATCCTATCCAACCCCTCTATTCCTGTATCAGTTTTATGGATATTTCTGGAATGCCTTGCATTCTCCTTTTCCTTATAAGACCTATTTTCAGAACTTATTCCTAATAAAAAAAAAAAAAATCCCCCAAATTTCTGTGTTCCCATGACACTTTGCTTATAATTTTATTTTGATAAGTATTTGTTTAGGGCCTACATCAGCCAAAGATTGAAAATGCACTATGGACGGGACAGAATCTCTGTCTTTGAATCCTCACCTCTTGTCCAGGGACTGATAGTTATAAGTAGGTGCCATTAAATTTAAAGTCGAGAGAATAAATTGAATTTATGAACACATCCTTTCCAAATTTTGATTGCGATTAACTTTGGCTGGAGGGATCATGATTAAAAATAGAGGTTTATTTTAAAGATAATCCAATTCTGTAACATTGCAGATTTGCTGCAGACCCACATCCAGCTCTCTGATCAACTATCACACTGAAAGACGGCTTGTCATCCCATCACCAGCGAGTCCCTGGCCTGGGGGAAAGTACATGTCACACATTTACATTTTGGCCTTTGGGTGAAGGCACTTTTTGTTCCAGAGTGCAACAAGGTTCTTGAAACTAAAACAGTGAATTCAAAGCTGACTGCAGTAAGGTGATGAAAACCTAGCATCAAAGTCTAGGAGGTTTGCTTTTAATATGGGGGTATAACATTTACATTTGTGATTGTTATTACTACTAGTGATTTGTCAGATATAAATACAGCCTGTAATAAACACTCCTATACAGATATTTCTATCAGGTTTTCAAATTCTGACTATATCACCAGCGACCTTAAAAATTCTACTACAAGAAGAGTCTCCAACACTTGCATGAAAGGACAATTTGGAGGAGGGCAGTGACAGAAAGGTGGCTAAAGAGAGATCGTCTAGGAGTCCAGATGGCCTTCCCCAGTGCAGAAGGGCTCACCTTTCTTTGACGTGCCCTGCTAAATCATTATTTGAGCTACGTACTGCTATGTGGGTAGACACCCACACATACAAACACACATACTTATGCAGGAGACAGGAAGACAGGGCGTGGCTAAAGTTGGCTGAGAAAGGAGGTGTGACAAAATCCCAGTGCACGTGCTCAGAACAGTCCCCACAACCCTGAGCATGGGCTTCTAGGGAGAACTCAGCAGGTTTTCCACAGAGTGGGCTAGACCTGATGTCAGCCTGAGGAGGGGCTGATACAAAAAGGACAGCAGACATCAAGTTTTTCGACTGTGTTCTCTCTTGCGAGGTGACCCGCCCTCACACTGTAGGGAAGTGATGAATCCTTTAGTGCTTTCAGTGACAAAAAACAGCATGCTACAGCACGGATGCTACAGGTTCGCCACCACTGCTGTAGAGTGTACTTCTTTTCCTACTTTTTCTTGGCCCAAACTTGCTCTGTAGAGCCTGTTTCTTTTCCTACCTTTAATAAAACTTTGCTACCGTTTGTGCTTGTCTTGACCAATTCTTTTTTCAGGACACAAAGATCCTAGAAACCACCTCCAGAAGGAGACTCCAGTGCCCTAAAACCTGGTAACACACATACACAATTTTTACCAGAATAATATGTTTTAACCTACTGATTGGATTCTTTTCTGGGTAGCAGAATATAAAAGAAAGACCACAGGACTAAAACTCCAGAGGACTTTGGCATGAATGATAATAGCAAATAGTAAGAACAAAATTATACAACCATCACTATGTGACACGAGTTGCTCTCTTGTTTTACATGTACTAAATTAGTCCACCTTCTCAGTGAACCAAAAGGTGGTTAGCACTGCTTTAGAGATGGGGGCTGGAACACAAGGCTGAGTAAACATTGTGCAGTGTGTGGTGGAGCCTTAGTATGAGAACAGGCATTGCAGATAATAGGAACTGGACTCTTGACGAATAGCTCCGAAGTTCAGTAATTCCAGGGCGACTTACATAAGTTGGTCACTTTTTATTTGTCCCATCTGAGTTTTTTAAAGATTAGAATATTTGCCTTTCAAAGAACACTAATGGTAAAGAATATGTGAAAACAGAAATAGAATCCAATAGACATATGATCTTAATTAAATGGGCCAGATCACAGATGATCTTTCAGTTTTATAAACAGGAGACAAAGCTGGGCATGGTGGCGCATGCCTGTAATCCCAGCACTCAGGAGGCTGAGGCAGGAGGATTGTTGCGAGTTCGAGGCCAGCCTGGGCTACAAAGTGAGCTCAAGGCCAGCCTGAACTGCATACTGAGACCCTGTCTCAAAAAGACAAAAAAATAAAAAATAAAAAATAAAAGCAGGAGACATGTCTGGGGATATAGTTCAGTGCTAGAGAGCTTACTTAGCATGTGTAAAGCCTTGGGTTTGATCCCCACCACCATCAAAATTAATGTTTTTAATTTTAAAATATAGGAGAGAGTCAAGTATGATTCTTCTTCAGCTTTTATACAATTGCCTATTCATACATCTATCCCTGAATCATTAAGAACTTCCATTTTATAACAGGCATATCAACAGATGCAGCCCATAATTTAGTGATTCTATAGCCCTTCTCTTCACTACCAAAAAAGGGAAAAATGCTTGCCTTGAAAAATAGAAATGGACAGTTCTTGTAGTTACTGTAGGGTTAGCCCGTCTGGTATCCAAGAGTGTTCATTCTTCTTTGTAAAAGTCCCCCAAGCACTTTCAACCTAACTATAACTCTCGCTTTTATCATCTGATACTAACAATTAACAGAAATAAATGTCCAGAAACTAGACTAAGTGATAGGACCGAGCATGCTGATGAGAGAGGGCCCCAGGACGTTTGCAGATTCCTGATCTCAGCAAAATGCCCAGAACTCAGTCAGCCTTACAGTTTCACAGCTCTACTTCCAAAAGCTCCAACTTCAAGATTTCATTTATTTACGCAGAGTGGGACGGTATCTGACTGTAGTGGATTCCCTGCCTGTCGGTTTTACAGCGACAGTGATCTAGAGTATATTGTGTTATTAAACCATAACCAGGCAGTAAACCTAGGGAGTAAAACAGAAGCAAATTCTGCTGAACAGGTAATTTTTTATTTGTATCTTTTTCAAGTGAGCAGTCATACTTTAAACTGGCTGAGCAAATAGTAGAACATCTCTTAGGAATTTGTCATCACAATTCTTTTTTATTTTGCCTTTAGCAATGAAGCAATACCCAAAAGAAACATTTTTGCACAGGGGGTTGGTAAAATTGAGGAAATGATGTTCTAGCAGTTGTAATAGTTACCAAATAAGCATTGTTTTAGTAACTTTTAGGATATTTTAAATCTATAGACAAACATGCAGAGAGAGAATGAAACTCAAATGTTTCAGTCTTCTGAGAATTACTGAAACTGCTGTCAGCAGCAGCATACAGTTCAGTTTTCAGGGGAAGGTTGTGTGGGGAAGGAGGGAATCAGAGCAGTGCCATAAAACAGACAAAAATTGGTCTTTGCCCAAATACTGTAGACTGCAGAGAGACCGCGGATAGCTCCTTGGGAGGCCGAGTGTCTGCCTCCCACCGAATCTATTTCTGTAGTTTTCTCAACGCATACTCGTCTCCAAATATGAAGCAGAATTTGGTAGATGAAGGTCCAAGCATCTTTGCAATAAATAGGAAAAATAAAACTCAGTAATTTCCCTTCTTTGTTCAATAAGAACACAGCAATCACAAGATCCTTATGTGCCAAACTATAAGAGCAAAAAGAAAATACTCTATACACACACCTCAGCCCTTCATGTTAAAGGAATAAAATTAGAATGATGTCATCATGAGGTGGGAACTAATGTTTTCTTGTTTTTTTTTTTTTCTTTGGTTTTTTGGTTTTTTTCTCCGGTACCGGGAACCGAACTCACGACCTTGCGTTTGCCAGGCAGGCGCTTTTGCCGCTGAGCTAAATCCCCAGCCCCTGGGAATCAATGTTTTCATTTGGTAGTTAGGGATCCTAAGGTTCTCAGAAGTTGCTGTTTTTTTCAACCTCATAAAGGTTCAAAGCCTTCAGAGACTCTATGTAGTGATTTGGAGAATACAGAAAGCTATTCAAATTAAGGCCACCCACTGCAGGAGCTCTACATCTTAAAGAAGTTATCTCCCTTAAACAAGTTGTCAAGCTGAGGAGCTGGAAGAATGAAACTCTACGCCTTTTCTTTAAAAAAGCAAAACAAGTTAAAATATTTCCTGAAATTAAAATCATGGAAGTCTTCAATATCACATGGAATCCTTGGTTATAGGTTACTTTCTACCTCTAGAGAGGTGGGAGTGAAGCTGTTTACATTACAATGACTATCAGCAGATACTGTTATCAGAAGATAGGGGCCTCTCGCTAGAAATTCCACAAATCAGCGTTTCTTGTTAGGATAAAACAGTAACAAGATGGTTCATCTTTCATTGACTGAGAAAATGAGGTAGCTCTTACGCAAGGAGAGTTCTATACAATAAAGCTTTTTCAAGAATGTTTTTTAAAAAATCAAGTAGGGAAAAAGAAACCAGAACATGGGGGTGTTGAGCATAATAAAAACATGAACAGCACTCTGCTCTCCACAGCAAGTAGAGCCATTAGTCAAAACAGACACATCTTGCAACGGGAGCTGGACTTGATTTTGCCAAAAGGCCAAGAAGTGATTAGATGAGTGTCTAAAAGAAAAAAATAGGGAAATAGAATGAAACATGTGCTGCTTACTCTTAGATGCTTCTTAGAGTAAGTTCCTTTAAGTTCCTGTATTTTCAGATGCTAGCTTTGGAGGAAATGCTTAGCGATTCTTCCAGTCTGACTGACATGCCTGGAAGGAGAAATTTAAGGATACTTCCAGGGACACTATGAAGGTGCATCCCCTTTTCTGGACTCTGTCTCATCTCCCCAGGCAGGGTGGGGAACTCTTCCTCTGTGTTCAAAAACTTCAATCTACTATTTAGACACATTCACTGTCATATTGTCATTTTTTTTACATGTCCCTAGCACCAGTTGATAAGAAGGTAAGAACCAGATACTTACATATTACAATAGACTAAATATTTGTGTCCTCACCTCCAGATTCAGATGTTAAAATCCTAACCCTCAATGTGGCTGTATTAAAAAGCAGGAATTTCCAGAAGTGACAGGGTCACGAGGGTGAAATCTCCATGAATGAGATTAGTATCCTTAAATAAAAGGATTTCAGATTGCTCCCTAGCCCTGTTTCTGCCATAGAGGAGAATGTGGCAGCCTAAGCCTAAATTCTCCAGAATCCAAACAAGCCACCTAGATTATAAGCCACCTAGTCTACGGTACTTTGTTATAGTTACTTCAATAAATGAGTGTTGATTCACTGATTGCTCAATTAAATCAGAAATTAATGCATGAGGAAAGTGAGAGCCAAACCTGTTAACTGACTTACCCAAATCACACAGTTACTTTGCGCCAAAATAAATCTTCCCAATCTTCCTTTATACAATCATGGATCCATAATCTAGCAAAAGATTCTATTATAACAAGAAAAAAATCCATAACTAAGTGGAAAAGAACTCAGTTCATAAACCTAATAAACCTAAATGTGGGGCTGGGGATTTAGCTCAGCGGCAAAGCGCCTGCCTGACAAGCGCAAGGTCGTGAGTTCGGTTCCCGGTACCAGAGAAAAACCAAAAAAAAAAAAAAAACCAACATAAACCTAAATGTGTACTTCAAATTGGATATTCTCTTTTTAATGTTCAAACAACGTTCAAACAGTGTGGAGAGAATTTGAAGCTTCAGAGACAAGCTAAAAGCAATTCCATTCCATTTTTCACCATCCATACATTGTACTTCGTGCTCCTGGCACTGTGCGGGGAACCCAAATGCATGAAGCAGACCTTGGCCCTGGCAGAGCTTGTCATCTCAGGGGCACTTAACAGAGAACCCAGACGGTCCCTTATTCTAAAGAGAAATAGTTTTTTCGGAGAGAATTTTTCCCACAGAAAAGTAATCTATGTAGTTTTTAAAAGCTTGAGGGAAGCCCTCGAGGAAAGAAAGGCAGTCAAGGGGGAGAATGAAAGAGAGCCCAAGTTCTGGTATCTCTTCCTGCTGGGTGTGTTGCTCCCAGCCAGCCTGGAGCTTTTGGCAGTTCTTCCTTGCTTTAGAGAGAGCGGAGGGTGTTGAAAGGGTCCTTGGCATTCTTTTTTAACCCATCATAGCCCATGTATCTCAAAGGGCACACTAAACTCTTACTACTCTGCTTCAGAAAGTTCCCACATTCTCAGGTGATACTCTTGCTCTGGCACTAGATTCTGAGATTCAAAAAAAGAAAATAATACTAACAATATGGAGAGAAAGAAAGACCAGATAAGCCATTTTTCTAACACTAGCCTCCTGCCTCGCTGTCCACACGTGTCCCACAGGTCCACCTGCCATGCCGTCCACACGTGTCCTACAGGCCCTCCTGCCTCACCATCCATACATGTGTCCCACGGGCCCTCCTGCCTCACCTGGGCCCCTTTCCTGGCATCTCCACTGTCTCGCAGAAGTGGCTAGAAGCTCTTGCATGGCCACGGCAAGAATGAGTGCTGGTGAATCTTTTAGAGCTTTCAATGATAGCACACAGCCGGCTGTAACACACATGGCGTAAGTTCACCCCACTGGTGAGAGCTAACTTCGTAGCTATGTGATGTAAGCAGACACGGAGACCTTGTTCTTAGAAGTGCATCACAGTTATTTTAAATTTCTCTTGTTGCTGTCTAGAAACTCTTAATAATTTTTTAGCAAGGGACTCTAATTTTTATCTTTCACAGAATCCCACAAATAACCTTCTAGTGCCCCAGGCACTAGGACTACATAGTTTTCAGATCAGCATGTCTGATCAGAGCCACCATGAGGTATTTTGATCCTAGAATTACCCTAAAAGGGTACTGAGGCCAAAACTGACTGACCCGCAAATGCTACTACCTTTCCTGTCGGAGGTGAGGACTCTGATAAAGGATTCCTTTGGATTCCATCACTGGCTAAAAAAAACCAAGTTTCCAAACCATGCCAGCCATGCACACTGTTCTCCATCAGTCACGGCGACAAAACTGTTCCGAAAGTATGACAAATATGCTCCTGGAGAAGTAGATAAGAGCTAATTGGATAAAAGTGATTACGGAATAATGAAACACATGAAATTACTATGCTACAATAACATCATAGACAGTCTCAAAATCTGGTGCTTGAACTCTGGCATCAGTTTCATCTTAGGATTTGTCAGAGATGGTCAATCTCAGAATTACAAAATCAAACCTCAGGCCGAGGCCCACAATCTGTGTTTAAACAGGGAGTCTCGGTGATTCTGATCCCATTGAGAACCACTGGCTTATTATCAACATAAGAAACAACTGGGCTGGGGATTTAGCTCAGCGGCAAAGCACCTTCCTGGCAAGCGCAAGGTCGTGAGTTCGGTTCCTGGTACCGGAGAAAAACAAAAAAAAAAAAAAAAAAAGAAACAATTATTTTCTAGTTACAACTATATAGCATAAATTATGATATATGTCCCCCACCGTTCAACCTATTGAGGAACTTTCATTTGTTTATTCATTTATTTACTCCTGTCATAATTACTTTTGTCCCCATGCTAAATGTGTGTGTGCCTCTCCAGTGAGCCAGGCACCAACCAGGATGAATATAAGGTTAATGGTATGTACTATAGAGATTTATAATCTGGTGCAAGGTAAGAGAAGAGATGAATTTGTAGACAAGAATAACTCTGTCCGGAATTTCTAATAGGTACCTGGAAGTGCAGCATGGGTATAGCCAAATGGATACATCAAATGGGGCTAATGGAACCAGGGTTAGGAAAAATATATTGAAAACACTCTATAGCTGGAATTTTAACACGTAGTAATAGAGTCTAGGAACAGGAAAAACAGATATTAGATAGAAAAAACAGTGTATTTCCAGATGAACAAGTAAGTCTGTTGTGTTGGAATCTGCATTCTTTAGAAAAGATTAATCTGAGAATAAACCAAAACAATAGTATGGAGCTAACTTTTAGAGCAAGGATTTTGAGTGCAAGGTGGAGTTCAGGCTTCTCATGATGAGGGTGAGACTGGTGTTCTGATACTGTAGTGAGAATGGTAGAACCATCTCTTCAAATTCCTGCTTGTTCTTGGCTACATTTTGATGGTGTAATTTCAGGGCAAAAGACGTAAGCAATTTGTGACACTATTTTCACAAAGCAAACTCTATATATGCCCTTTTATTTCACAAGTAAAGTCGAATGGGCAGAAGTAAGATCAGAGCCGTTTGAAGACAGAGGCAAGTTACTGCTCAATCATGTGAGATTAGATGCGTCTTCCTGGCTCATGTCAGACAGCAAACAAGATGCTGTTTGTAAAGTGCTTTTTTATTCTTTCACTTCAGAATCCCTCATAAAAACAGTGTTGGGTTTTTACATTTTGGGGCATTTTTTCTTTTTGGTAAGTCAAGAGTAATTTGCGGTTTGGGTAGTTTTCCTGAGGAAGGGTGTGTCTAAGCTTCCACTTTTAGACACCAGACTTCCAGCTCATTTTCTTTCCCCGCCCTTGATTCCTGCATGGTGTCACAGATGGACTAATAGGCAGCTTCTTTAAACCCCTGGGCAAGAGACATCTGTGACAACATGATGGGCCCTGAGGCCAAGAAGGAATACCATTTGCTCACTATTTTTCTAGCTGTTTCTTCCTGTTTCCTCTCCATGACTTTTCTAAGGCTAAGCAATGAATGGGGGACAAAGGGGTTATAACAAGTAAAAAAAAAAAAAAAATATATACATATATATATATACACTTGGAAAATAATTTATATCTTTTGAATGTTAGTTCCTGAGGGCAAAGACCATCTATAGCTAATTTCATACAACACTCAAATGACATAAATCAAGTTGATGGTTTGAAGGCCTCATTTAAAAACCAATACAAAAATAGCCAGGGAAATGTAAATTAGTACTACTACGGACAGCAAGTTGGCAGTGCCCATCCAAACTTAAAATACATGTGAAATGTAGGCCAAAAGTTAGACTTGTAGGACTTGGTCTGATAAAAATTCTCAAATAGGCAAGTTGATCCTGTACAGATTAGCCTTTAAAGTAGTTTGCAATGGCAGTGTTTCAAATGACTAGAAACATCCAAAATGACCATAAAAGGGGCTGCCTAAACAAACTACAGCTACAGAATATTTTGCAATTGGAATAAACCAGGAGGGAGCACTTTGTGTAGTAATATAGAGAAAGCTCCAGCATATACAGTTTTTGACAAAGGCAGCACAATGTGATGAGTATATAAACATTCAAATGAAGAAAGGGAATTTCTATGTATTTGTTTATACAAAATAATCTAAGAATTAAGATGTATTAGGTGCATGTACTGACACCGTGGTGAATGTAATCATTATGTACCACAAACATGTAGTGATACAAATTTTCTAAATACCTGAATACTGACAACTTCTAAGGAAGGGAAAAAGGGGGCTGGAAAAAGTGTTGGGAGACTTCATTACATATCCTTTTGTTTCTTTGGGGTTTAGAGCTGCATAAATGTATTATGTATATAAAGATAAATCATGCTTATCTCTCACAATTACAAATATCAACTCAAAATACATTAAAGACTTAAATATAAGATCTGAAATCATAAAATTATTAAACAAAAACTTATAGTAAATGCTTTAGGACATTGGAATAGGCAATAAGTTTTTGGATAAGGCCTCCAAAGCAGAGGAAACAAGGGCAAAACCAGATAAATAAAATCATATGAAGCTAAAAAGCTTCTGCAATCAAAGGAAATAATCAACAAAATGAAGAGACAAGCTACAGAAGAGGTGGCAATTCCTCAAAAAACTAAAAATAGAAATTCAACTTGATCCAACTATCCCCTTTCCAGGTATCTTCTCAAAAGACTCAGAGTCATCATATTAAGGGATGCATGCATATCTATGTTTACAGCAGCACAATTTATAATAGCTAGATATTGGAAACAGAGTATATATGTTCATCAACAGATGAATAGATAAAGAAAATGTAGTATTTATAGACAGTGGAATACTATTCTGCCATTAAGAAAAATAAATTTGAGACATTCATAGGCAAATTGAAAACATAATATTAAATGAAATAAGTCAGATACACAGCTTAAATATTGCATGATTTTTTTATATGAAAAGAATATACATATACTTCTCATATAATATATATTATATATATATATATATATATATATATATATTACAGATATAGAGAGAAAGAGGGAGAGAGTGAGCATGCAAAATAGGAGATAAATAAGTAGGGAGAAGTCCAAATCATTCCTCAAACTATTCAATGTTTCAAAATATTTTAATAAATATGTCATTTGTTTCATCATACTACTAGTTTCTCTTAGTTCACTGAAGAAAAAGTTTTGTGCTTTTATGTTTCTTCTTTATAAAAGAGTCTTTTATATTTAGATTTGTACTCTGAGTAACTTTCTGGCCATTCCTTTACAATTATGATACTCAGTGCATTAACTATTGTCATTCTCTAATTATTTTGTTATAAAATTTTATTTTATTTTTCATAGAAGTAAGAAGTGATCTACATATTTTGTTTATTCATATCTACTTGAATTACATTAAAATAAGAAGAGTAGAAAATATTTTCAAACTATACATTTGACAAAGGATTAATATTTAGTGTATAAAAAGAATTCCAAAAACTCAATAGCAAAAAAATAAGTAACATGGCTTAAAAATGAGCAATATTAACATTTAGAAAAACAGAAAAAGATATTTCTCAAAGTAAGACATTTGAATAAGTAACAGGTATATCAAAAAATCTTCGACATCACTAATCAGCAGGGCAATGCAAATCAAAACCACAGTGAGCTATCACTTCACACCAGTAGGAATGGCTATCACAAAAAGAAAGCTCTAAAGTTAACAAGTGCTGGCAAGGAAACGGAGAAAAGGCAACACTTGTACACTATTGGGGGGAGTGTGAACCATTACAAACATTAAGGAAAACACTATGGAGGGTCCTCAGAAAGTAAAAAGAGAACTACCACATGATCTAACAATCCCACTCCTGGGTATACCTGCAAAGGAAAGGAAAGCAATCTGTCCAAGAGGTATCTGCACTCTCATGTTAATGGCGGCACTATTCACAATTGGCGAAAAATGGAAACAACCAAAGCGTCCATTAACTGATGAATGGATAGAGAAAATGTTTATATACAGATTGAAATAGTATTCAGCCATAAAAAGGAAGGAAATCATGTCATTTGAGATAACAGGAATGGAATGGTTAAGGGAAATAAGCCAGGCATAAAAAGACAAGTACTGTACGATTTCATTTGTAAAATATAAAAAAGCTGAAGTCATAGAAGTTGAAGAGAAGAACAAAATGGTAGTTGTCAGAGGCCAGGGGAGCAGGTCTGGGGAAAGGTCGATCAATGGGTATTAAGTTATGCTAGGAGTATGAATTTCTGCAGTGCTAGGGCACAGTAGAGTGACTATAGAAAGTGATATAGTACTGTGTATTTTGAAAAGCTGGAAGAAAGAACTTTGAATGTTTTCACCATAAATAATAAATGTTCAGAGAGAAAGAAATGTTCTACCTGAATTAAACATTACACCATGCATACATGTACAGATAAATCACATGGTACTCCATAAATGTGCATAATCCTCATATTGTGTCTCAGTTAAAAATAAATTTATTTTTAAAAAATACATGAAGTAAGAATTCTGAACAAGTTTTATTTTATTTTATTTTTCATCTCTGAGATAAGGTTTTGCTATTCAGTTCAGGTTGGCTTTGAACTCACCTTGTAGCCCAGGCTGGCCCCAAACTCACAGCAATCCTCCTGCCTCAGCTTCCAGAGCTGTGTGATTACAGACATGCACCACCACACCTGGCTGAACAAGTTTTCATAATAGTATCTATTAGCCTAAAAAATAAAGTGAAATTTTAATTCATCTTAGTTAATCTGAAAGATTGTCTGTTTTGAAGGGCTTTTTTTTTTTTTCCTAAAAGCTCAACAAAACTTTTCTACTCTTTGAAAAAAAAATGGGGATGGAGATGTAACTGAGTAGTACAGCCTTTGCTCTCTATATGCAAGGGTCCAAGTTCAATCTCTAGCACTCCCCAAATATAAACATTTTTAAAAAGGAAGAGAGAGAATGATAATGAATGATGGAGGAATATGTAACTTTCTATCCTGTGAAGAAAGAAAGGACGATCCAAGTATTCTTTATTTTTTATACCCGTCAAAACTAAAGAGATTAACCAGTTTCTTGGTGTTTTTGTGCTTCTATAACAAAATACAGTAAACTGGGTAGTTCATAACAGAGTTTTCAGGGCTAGGGATTGCAAGATCAAGGAGCTTACAAGTTCAAAATCTGAAGAGGGCCTGCTGTCCGGTTCATACACAGCAATTTCTTCCGGTATCTTTACATGGTAGAAGGGGGTGCCCTTACCTGGCCACTGTCTGGCCTCTCATGAGGGCGTTCACTGCCTCAAGACTTGAGGACCTCCCTCGGGTCCCACTACACAAAACCAGCAACTTGAAGGGTAGGATTTCATGTATGAATTTTAGGATGACACAAACTTTCATAGCAGCCAGGGGAAAAAAATGTCACTGAATTAATGATCATGAAAAAGGGCAATGTGTAAAAGCAGAGGATGTGCTAGGTAAGCCAAGTTATTTATTCTGATTTCCTTTATTCTGATTTCCTTTATTTCAGGAAAAATGTTAGATTTGTTAAATCATATGCAACACAAAAATACAATGTCCATTAAAATAAACCAGTTGCTCAGTAAAAATTACCCACTTTTTCAATGGATGAACAATGTTTTATAATAAAATCTAAGAGAAAGTCAGTGCACCTACTTCATAAAGAAAATACATCACAATAGTTATTTAAGCTCAGAGATGGTTTCTTGTAATACTTTTAAATACAGGGAGATGTCATAACAATAAACATAACTTAGTAGAAGCTGTGTACAAGCCAAAACAATGGAATTTAACTAAACAGCTCTGTGATGATCTGTTTAAAGATAAGACTCAGCTCATCTGAGGAAATCAAGCACTGCATATACTTTCAAAGGCCCCTTCCTATTACTGTAAGTGAGCTTCTGTTTTGTACTGACTGTGACTTCAGTGTGACAGTTCCTGACAGCGCCTGGAGATATTCACATGTGCTGTTGCAGGTAGAATGATGAGTTTTAATCATCAGCAAAGCTAGCCCCGAATAAACATCTTTTAACAAAAGCTGAGAAGACTTTCCATCTAACATGGGAATATAAATTCTTGCTACTTTACATAGAAGTGAGCTACAGCAGTTAAGATTTCCCTTCAGAAAATTTTAGGCCCATTTCAACATACACATACATGGGGAAGCTGGTGGCCAAGTTTGACTCAAGTTTAATATTTTTGCCTGAAAAAGATAAAGTCTTATCAGAAGTCTATTTTAGTCATTTTTAAGCCAAAAAAAAAAAAAAAAAAATACTCACGGAACCTTTAGAATTTCAGCAAGAGAATTCATGGTAAAGGAGACCAAAAATAAACTGGTTACAAAATGTATGTCTTGAAAACTAAATCAGTGGACTTGCAGTACACGGGCATAAGCAGGCAAAAAAACCAGTTAAATGTTACTGGATGTGTGAATAAGGTTACATTTTATCCAAAGTTATTCTTTCTGGGAATGTATGAGAAAAAAGGTTCAGCCTCATTTAACAGAGAAACCAAAATAACAGTGGCTGAAACAAGAGAATTTTACTTTTCTCTTACATAAACGGAGTCTACAGACAGGAGTGCTGCAATAGCTCCCCACTCGTCAGGACCAAGGTTCCACTTCTCTTTTTTCTGAAAATCTCATGTAGTGTCCATCTCCAAGGTCACCCTCATGGTCAGAGATTGAGGCCACAGCTTTTGTCAACGTGCCCACTTCACAAATATAAAAAGGGAACACAATTCTCAACTAAGTATTGGGGAAATACAATTTAAAAGCATAACCTCCTAATTCAGAAATCCTCTCCACAAGGTAGTAGAAGAAAGAAAACATTTATTTTCGATTAAAGGTGAAACCGGAATGTGTGCACATCACAGGCAGTCAAGAAATGAAGAACTAAAGGACAGACTGAAATCTCACCTTTTATAGCTGAACACACACAACCCCTTACACACATGTTCCCAAAATAAATAATAATTAGTCTTCAAGTAAAAGGACTTATGAACACTATTTTATGGCACTTCATTTATCCTAAATTTACATGGTAATTGTGGTGACCAAATGTACTGGTTGATTAAATATACAAAGGAAACATAACCTTTTCATATTTTAATGACTGGATAATTTTACAACTTGATACCAGATTAAAATTATATTCCTACCCTCCTGTCAATAGTGAGAGGCAGGGGTGTCTCTCTTGGGTTTTTACATTTAGTGGAGTTGGATCTCAAGTTTTTGAAACTGCCATTCCTTGTCAAACTGAAAGAGGAATGCCTAATTTTGAAAAAGATTTATACATTTCTGAAAGACTATAAAGTACTTTTGGTTACAAGTTTCTAAAGTAAATGCTCTAAGAAAACAAAGGGAAAGGCAATTTCGTCATTTTCAGCAGGGAGAATTAAGCCTGTTTTAATTTGCATTTGTCTTGCATGCAACAATTCTCTTTGAGGAACACTTTTAGAAAGTCCACACAAAAACTTCCATTTATACCTCATTAGCCAGCACTTATTTAAATGGATACACCTAGCATCCAGAGAGCTGCAACACAGTCTCTTGGCTGACAGCATCACCACATCCAAAAAAAAAAAGAGTTCAGGATTCTGTCTCTAACGAAGTTTGAAAACCTGCAGAATTTCTCCACTAATATTATTTAGATAGTAGACCTAGGTGCATACTGTATACTTGTTAAAAAAACAAATTAAAAAAACCAACGAAACAATGATATCTCCAAAAGAAATTATTTACTTTTTTCAAAACCTCTTTTAAGGATGGGAAGTTATAACGAGTAAGCTCCACTGAAATTATCTGGAAATGATTCTTTAATCAGAATTTAAAATTTGTAATAGAGGAAAAAGTTTCGCTAGAAACAGACTCGCTTTACTCCTTTATATAACATCAGCTGAGAGAGTAAGAGATCATTCTTACTGATGTATTACTTAGGAATAGCTTTTATCCATATTAGCAACCAGGGATTTACAATAGCCAGAAAAGTTATAGAGTACCTAGGAATTACTCCAATAAGAAGTGAATAGCTCAAAGTAAATCTTTAAAATCTTCTGAAGGACACCAAAAAAGAATTGATCAAAGAGAAAGGCACACTTTGTGTTAGAATAAAAAAAAAAAAAAATTGACATCATGAAAAAATCAATTCCACAAGTTTTTAATTCTTTTCATATAACTTTCACAAAAATAACAACAGTTTTTTTATTAGACAAGAAAATACTGATGTTCATTTAAAAATTAAGTAAACAAAAAATAGCCAGGAAAGCTGTAACAATGAAGAACAATGCAGAATAATTGGTCCTTCTAGATAATGAAAAAAAAATGACGACAGTGATAAGAGTGTTATGAGACATAAGAATAAATAGACCAGGACACAGAAAACAACACAATGTCTTAAAATAGACCAAAGGTATGGAGTAGATTTAATGTGTACAAATGACAGCAGCTCACATCAGTAAAGAAAAGACAAGGTAGTTAATAAATGCTATTTGGACAACTGGTGAGCCATCCTCAAAAACTATTAAATTGGAATTCAAATCTCAAAATATACATTAGGAAAAAAATGTCAAAGCATCAAGAGTTAAATTTTAAAAAGGAAAATATAAGTGTACTGGAAGAAAACGTGGGTAGACCATTGTTATTATGATTCCAACATCTGGATATCTTGAAAGATTGATAAGTTCAACTATATAATCATAATTTCTGTTTAACCAAAAAATAGAAAATGTAAAAAAAGCTGGGGGTTTAGCTCAGTGGCAGAACATCTGCCTAAGCTCTAGCTTTGATCTTCAGCATCACAAACAAAAAGAATAATGAACATGCACACAAAAAGAAAGAAAAACAAAAACCTACAAGTAAAACTATAAACAAATGATAAACTAACATGAAAATTTTAAATTTATATTGTAGACAAAAGATTTAACATCCTAAGATATAAAATGTTTCATTAAACAAGGAAAACAGCAACAAAGTGGATAGAAGATATGAAAGTTCACACAAAAATATGAATGAGCCTTAAGTATATTGCACTTGCCTGGTGGTTTCACTTATCTTTTGCAAACCATCTTTTGTTTTCCCTTTGCCTGGCATTCAAATTTCCAAAGAAAAGGTAGTAACTGTTAATGTCAGCTGTTCCAGGAGAAAGAAACATGAAAAGACTGGCCATGGAGACCTCCTAATCAGTAATCTTTCTTTAGATTTACAGAACCAAGAGAATCTGGTAGCATTCAGATAACATCAGAACATGTACCAATGAAACGGACATTGCAGAATTAATGATTACTCTAGTGCCATCCATCTGTGGATAAAATAAGCTCCCTTATCTTTCCTATGCAAGCTCTTCACTTGTGGTTGTTGTCAAGATGTTTTTTTCCAGCACAGGAGTCGGCCATCCTCACAATTGCTGGTTTGTTGCCAATAAGGCTCTTTCTCCTCCCACCACTGTTTCTGGAGTCCTTAGCTTCCTTGGGTAGAGGTAGAGCCAGATTTTAGCAGTTACAATTTTAAAAAGATGCATAACCCCTCCTCCAAGCCTCTGAGGGGACTCGAGAAATCTCGAGGGCACGCCTTCTTGTTAGGACCCAGAGAGGTCCTTTTGCCATCTGTGAGGGCCCTGGCCAGTGACCAAAGAGGGCAGCACAGCCGGTCTTCTGGGCCGATTCATCAGATGCAATTGCAAACAGAAACACCAAAATGACACTCAGGATTTGGAGGC